CATTTTTCGAGGCTTATTCCAACAAGCGTCACTTGTCATAAATGACATCAGCATTGACTAAAGCAGACTTTATGACCACTGATGCTTGTTGGAATAAGACTGTTACTGTCAGTTTAAGTCAGTTGTCATAAAAGGCTTATTTAGGTATTGTGTAGCCTTAAGAACACCACCCTATATTAAAGTGCACCAAAATGCAGTGATAGTCAGAAAACTTGATTTTGTTCAGCTGCAAAAAGTGATACAATAGCTTTTAAACAAGAAAGTACTGATACTGTGTGGTGGAGCAGTGGGTGTCATGGATTGTGACCAATGTAGAAGTGTTCTTTTTTTTTTCATCTTGCTCACGTAGATCAGGGCCTCATATCCCAAATGCGTCACAGCACCAACCATCAGCATAAAATGCTCGAGTGATTATCACTTCGGAAACAATCTCCCACAGCTAAGATGATCATCTTAACACTACAAGGCTTTTGGGAAACTGGGTCCAGATGGGCCAAGAGTTTCTTCTGTTGTTTTGTTTTTTTTTTTTCCTGGATATTGCCTTAAAAGGCTGCTGTACCTTCTACTTTTGAAAAGTGTTTCTGTAGCAGATAAGGCATCTGTCTTTCACTGTTTCTTTTCTTTAATGAGTTTGTTGTGCTATGCAGCTCAGAGTTGCTTCAGAGACCTATTAGGTGCTCAGTAGGTTCACAGTAGATTCTTCGCTTTCCATATTACTTCCCCTATACCAGCAGGGGCTTGGTTGAGTAGTGCACTCAAGGAACATCCATTAAGCAGACTGGGTTTGTTGTGCTGCTTTCCCTAATGGGTCTCAACCTTCCTATTATATGCATTACAGTAGCCATGTGTTGTAAGGAAATGGGACAGGCAATGCAGGTACTACAACTGGAAGTGCTTGGATATCTAATTTAGTGGGTCCAAAGCTGCATCAAGGCCAGCAAGGCTTTGTTTTGCAGTCATAAGTGATGAAGACATCTTTGGAAATGTTCCATGCCTTTTCCATGCCTGGAACATGATCATAAAAGCCAGGTCCATTCATTATTGCATGTCTCTGCTGATTTTTATAATGCATTTGACTGGCCCATGATGGTGCGCAGCAACCCTAGACATACATGTATGCAAATGTATGTGAAGACATGGAAATGATATGAGGAAACATTTACTTAAGATGGACGTTTGAGTTACCACGTCAGCATTTCCCTTTTAGGATGTTGTCACTGTCACTTTTCAGAAGAAGGAAAAAATTATTTTCTTTTAATGTACGTTAATGCAACAGTATTTTAGCACCATTTTGAGCCATTTTATTTTTTGACATTATAAGTTGACCCTATCTATAGATATGATGGGTATGACAGGTTAAAACTCATACGTAGCCATCACAGAACTATATCAAACATGCTGTAACCTTTACACTATATATTGTAATATATTTAGCATTATTTAGTAGGAACGCATCTATGTGGGAATTGTGGGCAAAGGTCAATATTGAATGTTTTTATCGTGTGTATATATATATATATATATATATATATATATATATGTATATGTCATCATATATCATCATATATCATCAAATATCGGTTTATTAGAAAACTGGAAATATCGATCAAATCGAAACATCTGTCCAACGCCAATATTTTTAAAGCAATTTTCTACAGATAGTTATGAATCTGAGATCATTGCAGTTATTTCTCAACCCTGATCCTGGAGGCCCACTGCCCTGCACATTTTATTTCTTTTCCTGCTTTAACACAGCAGGGAAAACACTAAACAGTGCAGGGCAGTGGGCCTCTAGGACCAGGGTTGAGAAACATTTGATCATTGTACATCCACATTATTTAGCAGACACTCTCCAAGGCCAATTACAATGAAAGACAAGAATTAGATTTTCCTATTTATCAGCAATAATACATCAGCTGGCGACATATCATGCACCTCTAATTCATGTTCCTGCCACATCTCAGCATGTAAAGATGAAATTGAAGTGCTTTTGCCTTCCATGCTCTCCATCTCCATTGAGACTACAAAATTTGGAGCTGTCAGCTTGGCTCAAGTGTAGAGACTAGGGAGGCTCTCTGGCATTCTTCAAAGGCTAAGCGAGCTCCCCCTCATGCTCAGGTCTGTTGCATCAGCACTTTGCTGCATTGACTGATCTTGATGGAGAGTAAGCGTTCTGTACAGCAGAACTCAATGATTTCCTTTCTTCTTCTTTCAGAATATGTCCAGTCACTGTAATGATAATCAAGAGTAAATGGGAAAAGAATAATAACCTCAGCTCAGTGACATGAGAAGTGTGCTTTTATGTTGGATAACAGTAAGAATACATAACATTATTGCTGTTTATTTTATCACTCTTCAGTACTGCATTGTTGAATAGTAGTGTTGGTGTTTTTGTTGGTCATCCTCCCACTCATTGACAAGGGCATTCTGTCAGCTTCCTAATAAGGGCAGAGAGGGAGGTGGAAATTTATAAATAGAACAGGATTGTTTCTTGGGAATATATGCATTGGCGTGCTGGAAGCTTTATCTGATGTGTGTGTGCCTGCTTCCGTGCCAGTGGTAGAGATGAAGCTGGAGCACAGCTGCACAGACATACAGTCAGCACTGCATACAGCACGTGCTGCAGGGCTGCAAGACCTCTAGACTGAATATAATACACTAGAGAGACGGGTAATCCAGTTTGCATGAAGATATCAAATGCCCAATTGCAAGTTAATTTGGCCTAAATGAAATGGCTTTCCGGGCTAAGAAAAATTTGCCAGAGTGTTGTGGAATAAAGCTGTGGGAGATGTATTCACACAGCTAAATGGGACTACAAAATGTACTGAATTTAAAATAACCTTGTAAATCAATTCATTGAAATGTCAGATTTAATGACATGAAAACAGTTTCATCAAGTGATCTGAAGTCATTATAGCATATAACACCATAGCACAGCTGCACAAGACTGTTATCAGCAGTTTAGTCCTTGCTCATGTAGACCATTTCTTGGACTTACAGGTGTAATAGATTATGCCTCATCAGTATTTAGTCACTCATGTCAAGAATGTATTGTCAGATAACCTATATATTTCTCTGTGTTAAATGGACTGCTTATTTTTTTGTTGTTCTCCGCTAAGTGCATCCTTTTTTTCAGTCTACATTTCAGCTTAATAGTGGACCATTTTTGTCCTTAACCTATAGGATTGATTGGTATTGAGCTGATAACAACATTTGTTTGTAGTCAGTTTTACAATGCAGAGAATGGAGCCACAATGTAGCCATCCATAGCATATAGATATAAGCATGACAGTTCCTTTCTTCTTCTAGGCCTCTCCAGAAAGGCCCTCCTTTGTTTTTACACAAATGGCCTGTAATGACAATTGATTGCTCCTTTTCTCAAAGAGCACATAGACATTTTCGACTCCAGAAATCTTTGTCTTTCTGAAATATATGTCTAAATATATATGGAAACTGATAATGTGAGTAACTGATATTATTTTTCTGTATTTATTTGTTTGTGTATTTATTTGTTTAGCCATTTTAAAGCAAGTTCAAAATATAGTCCATCATTATATTGATGGATTATATGATTATAGATGATTTTACATAGGAATGACACAGCCAGATCAGATGTGATGGTTATTGTAAGCATTAATATTTTTTAATGTATGTATTCAAATACGTGAGCAGACTTGCTCAAGTAGCTGAATGTAACATTTGAGAGTCTTGCCCAAGCACCCTTGTTAGTGTAGCTGTGAGTGTGTTTATATACTCTTTGGTATAGCAGTGGTGTTCCTGCTTGGACAAAGAATTGAAGCCTGGTCTCATGTGTGGATAGTGATGAGGGTAGACATTGTCTAGTGCCTGGTGCCCCTGGTCTCAACATTTCACACTGTGGCCACTGAAAATGCAGTGTCACTTTCCTGTGAGTGTTTTTTGCATTGGTTTTCCCAGAGATGGAACTAATCAGACATATCAGGTTGGGGATGGGCGATAGGGCAAAAATACAGTATCATGATACTTCATGACATTTTTGTGATGCACAATATGCATCATGATATTTAGTTTTTCTAAGGTTTGATGAGTTGAAATAAGAAAAAAAACCTTGAATATAATCAGTACAAGGATTTTCATTCAAAATCTTTGGCTTGGTGGCCCTAGTGACCAGTGCAAATCTGTATATCTGTCAACGCCTACTAGTGGTGTTATTCACTACTCCATCCATTTGTACAAGTTCAGAAGGGAAAGTATGTGAGTGTGCATAAGCCATGATTACAAGTTTGGACCAATAATAATGATTAAATGCTCTCATTTACTAGTGAATATGTCAGCTGGCAATCATCATGCACCCCTAGTTAGCACGTGCTTTTCTATTCAAAGTGTATTTATTTCAACAGGTTTTTAAACTGTTCCACATTTCGGTGGATGCGTTCACACAAATCCACATGTACACATGGTCTATATTAAGCTGGAGGGCCTGCTGTTGCTGTCTGGCTGAGGCTGAGGTCATGACCAAGATATGTCTGTGAAAGAGCAACTCATGGAAATCTCTTGCTTGATACCAGTGTTTAGAGGAAGTAAAGATGCCTTGGCCACAGAGAAAGAGAGAGAGAGAGATTGACTTACTAACTTGGGCTAAGATAAACTAAAACATGCAGACACCAAACAGCCACTACTGTCTGCTGTCCTGGCTTATCAGGCTCTCTCTGTGGAACTCCAGATTTTAAAGTGGTGCTTTCTTCTTATCATAGAAACCCAAGTTATGTACACTGTGTACAAGCCAAATCCCAACAAGAGCAGCAAGACTGGCCTGTGCTCAGTTTGGTGCATCTATTTTTAAACCTTTCTCATACTATCTGTTGTAGAAAGTTTTTTATTTTCTCTCTGACTCATAGTTTTCCGTGCATTCTTGAGCAAATAAGATGAAAAAAATGTGGCAAAAGAATGATATCGATCAGTCTAACGTATCCTTCCATTCTGTTTTCTGAGTTCTGCTTTTGTTTCTTGTTCTTTCGCAGCTTGTGTCCAACGTGCTGATCTTCTCCTGCACCAACATAGTAGGAGTGTGTACACACTACCCAGCAGAAGGCTCTCAGAGACAGGCCTTCCAGGAGACCCGAGAATGCATTCAGGCCCGCCTTCACTCGCAGAGAGAAAACCAACAGCAGGTGAGGCAGAAGAGCACTCCAGGCAGCACAGCTGGGAGCTCAGCGCTGTGCTGCAGCAGCAAGTTTTATTTTTATACGGATGTCTCAGCATCGACTTGGACATCTTCCCTGGATAAGATGTATTGCATAAAAAAAAAAAAATGTTTTCTTAAACATGAATCTCTGGATGAAACTTCTAAATACTTTTAAATGGGCCCTTTTCTGTTGTTGGTGAGGGTGTTCAAAGAAATGACAGTACAGATGGGGGACGTTGTTATGAGAGAATTACTATATAGGGACCTGTTTTCCAGATCTAGATTATGCCTGGGCCTAGATTAAAAAGCATTTTTAATCATGACACACAATTGGCATTGCAATTTAGTCCAACACTAGCCCTAACCAGTGTCTGAGGAATCAGTGCTAAATGACTGAAGTAGGACTGTCAACCAGTTAAAATGAATAATTGTGGTTAATTACATTAGTTTGTGTAGTAAATCACAATTAATTAATTTTTTTTTTATTGTCGGCGTCCAATGACAGCAGTAGTTGCCTGTTCCAACCAATGAGTGTGTATATTATATACGTCATATAGGTTGTTTATTCAAAATATGCCAAAACTGCAACAGCAAATTGAATTGAATAGGCATTGAATACTTAAAACAAATTCTTTTTATTTAGAATTATTTTTAGGTAGATTTTTTAAAACTGCCTATTTGCTTGAACTAGACATCAGGCATATTTTCTTTTCTGGGAACCACTGGCCCATAGATTGTTGTTGGGGGAAGGCAGTCAGAACACTCACTTGTTGCAGTACATGCTGGGGACTGTAGTGCATCTCAGGGTGAAACGGGCTAAAAAGAATAATTTTGTGGGCCGAATAGAACTGTGTCATGGGCCTGACTTGGCTCGCGGGCCTTGTGTTTGACATGTGGAATATATACAGTCAGTGGGTCCAACTCCTCTGAGATTATAGCCTCTCACTTTCTTTCATACAGTGTATTCTTTTTACAGTGGAGAGTCAAACTAGGAAAATACATAAACAACATTTAAAAAAAAATAATAGTTGTTAATGCATTATTAACTTTGACAGATTGAAGTAATTAAGTTGCCAAACTGCTATCTCTGAGTGCACTCATAAAAATAAGGTTCCTAAAAGGTTCATGGCGAATGGTTCTGGGGTTTGGTACAGTTTGCAGTTCTTTGAAATTTTAAAAAGATTCAAAATTTTCACACACCTCGTTCATGAAAATGAAAAACATCTACTGAAATGTTCTTTAAGAAACCCAAACTGGTTCCAAAGAGCCATTTTTGGGACCTTTATTTCAAGAGTGCACTGCATATATATCTCCACTACATCACATACATATCGGGATGACATCAGTGATGGCCACTGGCGTCAGCAGTGACGCCTCCTCTCAGCAGGCTCTGACGGGTAGGGGAGCTGGACTGAGACAGAAAAGATGTTAATCTCTGAGCCCTCAGTCAGAAATGTCCCTCAGTGGGATGGTTAGAATCAAGGCGATCTCATTTTTCTTTTCTTTTTTTTCCCTCATTTGAAGGAACGCCTCCTACTCTCTGTGCTTCCCCGGCATGTTGCCATGGAGATGAAAGCCGACATAAATGCCAAGCAGGAGGATATGATGTTTCACAAGATCTACATCCAGAAGCATGACAATGTGAGGTAGGAGAGTGCCAAAGCCCAGCCTGACGTGTCAAGGTCACTGTGCACCTTTGCTTTCACACCTGCATAGACTCACTATGAACTTCACTTGATTTGTTGCTGAGATTTTTTGTTGAATATCTTAAAGGCTTGCTTACTTTTTAAATGATTAGAAGGCACTGGGTTTATATAGCAATAATTGTATAGCTGTGTATAGAAAGTAAGCAATGTATATTCATTTTTTGTGCATTTTTATGTCTGGAGGTATGCACTGTGGGATTCATATTTACTTTCAAAATTCATTGATTACCCATTAGACCTGACTAAAATCCTGTCCTTGCATAGCTGTCACCAGTAGCAGCAGCAGGACTTGGATTTGGATGTGCACAGTAAATTCACAGGTGGTGTAATGATTGAATTTGGCTGCCATGATGGGGGAGGGACTAAGCTATAACAATAGGAATTCATTTTATGGCTGATTCCAGTTTCTTCATAGCCAAAGTGACACAGTCAGATTTTTGTTATTAGCCAACATAGTTGGCTGTTATTTGTCACTTTAGTAATATAAATAATATTATTTTGCTATTTAATGCAAATCTGGCATTTTGAATTTTTCCATTTTAAAACTGGTTAAAATCAGTCAAATAAAGTGCTACATCAAAAGTAAGAGGTAACAGGCTGTTTAGCACAGTGAGTCATGCTTCGACATTTTGTTGCAGGTGTAGCAGCAGCATTCAAATACAGTATGAGTGCACATACCTGCTCATATTATTTACCTCATTAAATTGCAAAACAGATCTGCCAAAATAGAAACAATATATTGGCCAATTATTGATTTCATGTTTTGATCAAAAAATCTCTGCATACCTATATAACGATATATAGACCGAGGATTTTGCCAAGTACCATTCAAACATGACAGTAGGAAAAAAACGCAAGAGACACCAGCTTGCTTGTTGACTAGAACACATAAAATTTAAAAAATTTAAATAAAAAAAAAAATTATATAAAAGTTCATAGTAGAAAAAACTTGCATCTCTTGCTTTGCACACATGCACTGTAACAAGTAACATAACTCTGCTGGTGATTTCTAGCATTTATGTTTTCAGTGTTACTGAGCTGGTTGATGATTGTGCTGGTTGATTGTTACTGTGTTTATGTAGTGCTTGATGGTTTGATCTGAAAAAAGAAGCTGTTCTTATACCCCTTTAGTCCTTAAATCCACACTGTGTACTTCTCCACATTTATCTCCAAAATGCTGACAGCATCAATGCTAATGCAGTACTCTGTACAGTTATACTTCTCATACCTGTGTGATGAGATCTGCCTGAATTTAGTGCTTAAAAATGGTAGCTAGGTTTTGTTGGTTGTGATGCTAAACAAACGCTGCACAGTTGTTGATTATATTGGGATTTTGATTGGTAAGTGACTGGAAAATATTATTTGTGAGTTTCATTAATATGATTTTAACATTGAAATTATATTTGAACAATCATTTTTGGTGGCATGGCAACATATTCCGGACTTTATTCAAATTCCAAAGCAAATTTGAAAATGCTGTGTTAAAGTTCATGTGGAAAGGGCAGCGCTTTTGACATTTCATTTTTATTGTCTTAATGGTCTGACTCGTTTGCAGTTGCATTTCCTCATCGTTGCTCTCCAGCTCTGCCAAAATTAAAATGTGTTTGAAGCCCTGTTTGCAATTGTGTTTTCACTGTCAATGAGGCACTTCTGTCAAAATGACGAGTCTAAACTTTGTCAGTACTGGCGCTTAGCTAGATCCTTGTTAGCTAGCAATACCAGCTGCAGCTAGTTACAATTTAATACTTGCATTTGAATATTCAAATTTGAATTTGAAGAAAGTCCACAATTTGCTGCCATAGGGTGGGCCAGTGATGAAACTGGATGGGCTTAAACGTGCTGGGCCTGAACATATGGCTATCACTGAAGCTTGTGCTGAAGGTAAAGTGGAAAAATCTCATTCTGGTTAATTAGGATATAGAGGGTGTAACGTACTAAGCTTTGTGCATCAGTTTCAGGCACAAATCAGACACATTTGGCCTATGTGTTTTATATGAAACTGCCTTATAAGACATGAGAAGTGGGGCTGATTACATATTCTGTTCAATTTACTCTAAATTGAGCAAATAACATCAGTTTTGCACTGACTTTTCTCCACCTTATGTCTAAAACCAGACATAATTTAGTGGCAGTGCGTCAGAGACGTGTTGTTGGGAGGCTTCATTTGACAGTGGCAGCAAACATGCTGAAACATGTGCTGAATAAATGAATGATTACTAAGAGAATAGCACTCAGGATCAGATATTCATGTATGAGAAGATACAGCCCAAAATATGCAACCGGGCTCAGTGTTGGCAAACTCCTTCTTATTGTTTCACAAACTACTGTTTTTAGCCACAGTAGAATTACGCCAGTGTAGAACATAGTTGATTTATTAATATATACTGATTTTTTTTCTTGATAACACTATGTTACTGTGTTTTTTAAACCTTGCATCTCAGGAGTGAGCAGTTAGTAGGTGGCCTGATGAGCAGTTGATTTTACTTTGAATTCAAGTCTGCAGTGTCTGGACTGTATTTAACGACATTGTCATAGATTTACAAGGCTCCTGCTTTTCAAATGGAAAACTGAAGCGCCCTTACTTGGTTTCAAAAATGAAAAATTATCTGAGATTTATGCAAAAGTCATACATTTTTTCGCAGCAATAGAGTTATCTTCCTGAGGTCAGATGCTGTCACATGATTTGCATGAAGCCAGATGGCTTTTTATGTGTGTGTGCTGCCAGACTTTGGAAGGCATCTTTTTTTTCAAGGTTCCACATAAATACAACATAATTATACATACAAAGATTTATGTATATGTAGGTTTCTTTTTTTAGGAAAAATAAATTCACCAACCAAAGATGTGGCTGACCATGAACACCTAGATTTTACTGTAACTTGAGAATTATGTGACGTAGCAGTCACTATGTGCAGCACAGTAAGGAATGTCACACTTTTGTCGCCCTCACCTCTCCCACAACCCCAGCTCACATGAGCCTTGTTTCTTTTTGTTCAGTAATGACCTGTGCTTTATCCTTAGCCTATTGTCTGCCTGTAAAATAACACACACAAAGAGTGCAAATGTATGATATGTAATATTGGACTTGTGTCATGTAATGTAATAACTGTATGATGCCAAATGAGCAGCCCCCTGTCTAGGGTTTGAAGATCAGTATCACTTACTTTTAAGACACTTGCGGCAGTTTGCAAGCAGAAATTACTATTTTTTGGTCATTTCTACAATTTTTTTGGTAATTTTTCTTTCAATCATCAACACAGCACGTTTAGTCAGTTTGCTCGCATCTTAGTGTATTTTCTGAAAGTAAGCAGCTTTTAATGAAGGCTTGGCTCCAACCACACTCGGCACAACCAAGTAATGTCATATATCACTGAAAAGCATGTTTCCTGTAGAATCTGTCTAGAAGTACAAATATGTCTGTTTATATGTTTTCTAAGATCTCACTGTGTAATGCAATTCTGAGACTCATTCCTAAAACCATTTTTCTTTACATTCAGAGCCAAAACTCTCTGTGTCTAGAATACCTGCATGTTTACAGGTTGATTCCTAACCATATTCTGAAAGATATTGCATAAAGATTTAGTATGTTTATAATATTTATTCGTAATATATTGCTAATAGAGGGATTTATGCAAAACTTTTATACTACCAAAAACTGAAAAGCATTTTTTTCTTCTTTTTAATAATGCAGTGATTTCTTGATTAAGTAATAACCCTGAGATTCCAATCTGTTTCTGAGTGTGTCTTCACAATGAAATTAATATTTTTATTGTATCATCATCCAAAGGGTGGATTTTTGTATGTTGTTTATGCATTGTCACTTTTCCAAAAAAAAAAAACACAAGTATCTCCAAAATGGTGCTTTACAGAAGGAGAAAGAAAAACATTCTTAATTTTCAGTCCAGGTGAATGTAAGAATGTAAAAACAATTTATTCCAAGTCATTTTGGAGCATTTTTATTGGTGCATTCATTGTGACATTTTCCTGACTTCACCATGCAAAGGACAGCTGTTGTTTGAACAATGTAGAAAAATCAAAATGAAAGAAAAGGAAGTTTTTTTTTTATTGGACAGAATTGATATGCATATTTAATTACATAACATCTCATTTGCATGTCTAAATATAAATTACATAAAAGGAAATACAAAAAGTACTTAAATGTCAGTGATCAACTGGCACATGTTCATGGTAACATCTGTTGCTTTAAAAGATGACCCTATTCACTCGTAGAGTCTCGCTTTAAAATCACTTCAAAGCGTAGAATGTAAAATCGTATTACATTATTTGATTATTTATGAAAGGCCTGTGCTACATTTACAACACTTTTACCTTCACTGTTGGGTCTGTTAGTGAAATTTTGTGGCTTTGTGTGTATTTGGCATTTTTGAAAGAGCAAACCTCCAACTGACTCACGTTCTTCAGTCTGAAGCTAGTAAACCAGCCTTAGCACCATCTTGTGGTGAGAGAGGACAGCACTCATAAGCTTAATGTACATTTGTACAGCACAAAATAGAGTCGTCCACCCTGTTCTTCTCTGTTTTGTCTTTAGGAGATTGTGATGGTTTCTAAGTCTGATCCGAACTGACCAACCGTGTCTAGAGCAGCACTTCTCTGTGTGTGCAGACACATTCCCTCACATCACGCGCTGGCTTCCTCACAGCCACACTCTGTAGCCTTAATTCCACTCAGACACACATAGTCAGTTTCTAACTCGCGCGCTCTCTCTCTCTCTCTCTCTCTCTTTCTCTTTCTCTCTCTCTCTCTCTCTCTCTCTCTCTCTCTCCTTCTCTCCTTCTCAAAACCACACTCTACATGAGGCCCCCCACTGTATCCCATTTGTTTCTCCATGTGACCTAACAGTTGGACCGGAGTTCAGCTTTGATTTATTTTAAATCCTGATATGTTTTTGTTTTATTTATAATGAATACTGGAGTTTATTA